GCCAAATCCAACATTTATCAGGGACTGTACATTTATACATATTGAGCTTTGACTCTTGAATTTTTCCAGGTCTTGAAAAACTCCCTAAAAGGGTGCTGAATGGGAGTGGGTTCTGAAAGCTTTATGAGGATCATATATGTGGGGAGAGAGGATGTGAAAGCAGAGTCAACCAAGAGGGAATAGGGCCACCACCAGTTTTCATTAAGGTTAGCCAAAATTAAATAACAATTCATTATTATCTATCAGATAAATCTTGCTCTAAAATTTCTCTAAATAAAATTAAATAGCACAATTAACAAAGCCTCAGGAGAACAGCTGCAAACTCTATTGTTATTACCCTCCTGTCCTTGCATGTTTTTTCAAGCCTAGTGAGAGGGAAGCTTTTAAACTAAAAGCACTTGTACACGTTAAGTCACTTCAGTCTGTCAGACTCTTTGCGACGCCATGGACTATAGTCCGCCAGGCGCCTCTGACCATGGGATTCTCTAGGCAACTATATGGGGGTGGTTGGCCGAGCCCTCCTCCAGGGGATCTTCCCAACCCAGGGATTGAATTCTTGTCTCTTTTTTCTCCTGCATTGGCAGGTGGGTTCTTTACCACTGGTGCCACCAGCCCAAAAGTACTTAATTATGTTGAAAAGAGGCATGAGCTGACTGCGTTTAAGTCAGAGATTCTCTTAAGTGATGACAACTGTCACTGACTGAGGGCCTACTATGCTCCAGGAAGTGCATTACACACTTTTTATTTCTTTAGGCCGCGCTGGGTCTTGGCTGCTGCACGCGGGCTTCTCTACTTGCGGCATGGACTCTGCTGCTCCGCAGCATGTGGGATCCGAGGTCCCCTGCCAGGGATCAAACCTGTGTCCCCTGCATTGGAAGGTGGACTCTCAGCTACCAGACCACCAGGGAAGTCCCTGCATTACACACTTCATACACAGTTTCCCCTAGATCTCACAGTAACCCGAGGAGACAGACATTATTTTTTCCCGTTATCTAGATCTTTAATAAACTGAAAAGAATGACATGTTTCATCATGGTGGGCAGAGTACAGGAAAAATGGGAACTTTCCAGGTGCCTCTGGCCACACTCAGCAAATAAGCATCTATTAAGTGACTGGATGGTGTAATACTTGTTGGCAGTTCACAGGCTCTGAGGAATACAAAGAAAGCATTAATGATTTATAGAGAAGTTCAGACACATGCGTAAAGACTCCACCTGGGTTAAAAAACAAAACAAAACTGGAAAACCAGAACCAAAAAACCATGTCATTCATTTTTGTTTGGTGGTGGTATAGTTGCTAAGTCCCGTCCAGCTTTGTGACCCCATGGACTGTGGCCTGGTAGGTTCTTCTGTCCATGGGATTCTCCAGGCAAGAACATTGGAGTGGGCTGCCATTCTCTCCTCTAGGGGAATCTTCCCAACCCAGGGAATCAAACCCCATCTCCTGCATTGCTGGCAGATTCTTTACCAACTGAGCTACCAGGGAAGCCCTGTACATCTTTGTATACTTTGCATAAAGTTCCTACAGTGGGAATTCCATCACTGATGAGTTCTTGAATAAATGCATGAAATGATTGAATCAATGAATGAAATCAGCCAACCAACTGACTAAATGCTAGAGTGTGAGATATTAGCTGTAAGAACTAAAACAGTCGAGAGAAGAAAAACTTATTATGGACTTGGGTCATAGCAAGACTTCCTGAATGAGGTGAGATCTGAACTGGGCTTGAAGAATTTGAAATATTGGAATTACAAAGGGGAACTAGAGTCCCATTGGATAGCAGGAATACTATAAATGGGCACAGAACCTCCTCCCCTCTGTAGCTCAAGCTCCACCCTCCTCTTCCATTGCTGCTCCCTCAGTAGCCTTTTGCCCTGAGTTCATCTGCCCTGTTTGCATTTGTCCTGCCTTGAACCCTATCCAGCTAGCTCTCAGAACCCCTTGACGCTAGTAATGATTGGGCGAAGACATCTTTGGATTAACCAGGGATGCCTCTATCCTTTGGTGGGGATTAGAAAAACAGTGCTTGTCCTGTGGATGATTGGAGACTTTTGCAAGCAAAGGAATAAATTCTTCCATCGCAGAAATGATGAAAATCTCCCACTCCCAAATAGCTGTGACGAGGCCTTCCCATGGAAACGCTGGCACCTGGGAGACCTTCTCAAGGCTTCCAGAAACACATTCCTACCAGGTCCTCATAACAACCATTCAACTCCCCCTGTGCCTCTGTGCCAAAGTCAAGGCGAATGTAAACACACCCTTCTCAGACTTTAGTGACAGGGGCTCAACAAAAGACCCCAGGTTTCTCTACACACTGAGGTTTTGTTTCCCAAGTATCAGGAAAGCATCTTATAGCACAGTTTTCCTGAATCATTTCTGGCTTGCCTTCTGTCAGAGATTCCAGGAATTAGTGTCACTTTGTAATTTGTCTCGTGACAGGTGAAGAATGTCCCCTGATCAGAGCTATGGCTTGGTTGGGTTTTAAGAAAAGTCCACACCTCCAGTGGTTGGAAAAAGGTATTGATCATGGTGACCCTCATATCACTGATCACTCACTGCTCTGAAAAAGGCCCAGAGCGCCACACCACTGTATTTTGGAGTCAAGTCCTTTTCGAGTCTGTTTTTTTCAGGAACAATATGAGACGTCGGGAGCTGTGCTCAGCAGGCAGATCCACTTTTCCAAAACAGAAATCACTTTGGGGGTGGAAAGAGTGATTTCACTTTTCCCAGGTTGAGAGACAGCTTCTGTTTTGCTACAGCCCTTGAGCCAGCAGTACTGCTCTTGAGAGAACAGATGAGCTACTGGCGTCTCACAAAAAAGACAACTATAAACTGTCACTGAGATGGTGCCTTGTTTCTCCAAAATAGCATTCCGGCCCTCCTGGTGCAAGGCAGCTCACAGAATATCCTGAGAAAGAGGTGAAGGAACAAGGATGGAGCCGGCAAGTTTAACTGGTGTCGGGAGGCAGCAGGTGAAGGTCCAAATTCTGTGGCAAGAAGTACTGTTTTTGAGATGCCAGTGCCAGTCTTTTAATAAAAGACTTTCTTGTGAGGGCTGAAAGTTTTTCCCTCTGGGATTTAAAAGACTCAGGCTTATAAATCCAATATTTTGATGGCAAAAGTTCCCCCTTTTCTATTATATAATATGAAAAAATAAAATACACCCTCTCACAGGCACAGACCAGTAATGCAGGAAAATACGATATGTATCCGAAGGAAATATTTTTGATCATCAAGGTCAGAGCATCTACTTTCATTGATTATATGACTCTGGTTAATTTCACTTCCTGTCCAGGGTATTATTTCCTGGTAAAAGTAGGGGGAAAAGTCCCAGCACTTTATAGGCCTGCCTTCCCTGAAATTAACAGATTGTCCACACGAGAGCTGTCGGCGTGTGCCAGCCCTCCAGCAAAGAAGGAGCAGGTTCAGGACCTGGCACGGTGCAGCCGAGTGGCACTGCTCCCAGAACTCTCCTCCAATAAAGAGCCATTGTGGGCTCTGGACCCTTCAACCAACAGGACAAACGACTCAAATGAAAAGCACAATGCATGTGAGTGGAACCTGAAACTTGAATGGCGCGGTAATCACTTCCTTAGCAGAGACGCCATTATTTTTCACGCAACTTCATTCTGCAATTCAGTCCTTGCCTAGTGTAATGGTACAGATGTCCATTTATCAGTTGATAAAGGAGAATGATTACTCTCAGACCCATTAAGCAATACAGGTTACAAGCACTGGTGGGGAGAAGTGGAAAATTGTCAGAGGAGGTGGGAAGGGATTGACATTCATCAGCAAAACACCTCAAAAGACAAGCAAGTGCCGATTCTCCCAAAATGGGGATCAACACAGACTCTAGTTCAGCCACTGGGAAATTTGAGACCGTATCGAAGGGTGTAAGAAGCTAAATCTAAAATCAGGTCCAGGGCTTCAAGGCAGCTGTGATTTCTGTGTAAGAATGAGGTCTCCAGCAGGAGGCTGGCCTGGGTCTGGGGGGCTAAGGTCAAGGTTAAGGTCATCTAAACTGTGCAGCTGACACCCCATTGTCAAGCATCAGGTGTTATAGGCTGCAGATCAAGTGCTTAGATTTGCCTGCTGAAGAGGCTGGGACGAGTCAGGGTGCTAATTCAGGCTGAGCCATAGTTTCCATCTGGATGACCTGGAGTGACTCATTATGCAACAGCCAACCTCACTAGCAAAAAAAAAAAAGATGCCACTCTCAGCTAAGATTTCTCAAATGAATAAATAGGAAAGGACAGTTGAATTGGATACCATGGATCAAATGAAAACCACTCTTTTAGCTGGACCAACATACCAAATTCCATGTTCCTTGGTTTTAGAATTAGGTTTTTCTATCTCTGAGTCAATGGTATTTTTCAGCTAATCAGTTTTGACCAGAAACATAGTCTGTCTCAAATAAGCCTCTTTCCTTATGATCTGAAGCTTGGAACTAGTCACAATATCCTAACGGGGTCAACCACTCTACTTACTTTCTGACACATACAACTAACAACAGACTTATGTCCATATACATGTGTCACTTTAATAAAAATAAATAAACCCATATCTGTGGAATGATGCTAATATTTAAACAAGGCCACCTGATTCAATGTTGCATTTTTGCTTTCATTTGTCTTATTTGATCAGCATGGTTTTGCCTCCATAAGTCATCTACAAAGAAGATGTGTCTGTGCTCACCTGTGCCAGACTCTTTGAGACCCCATGGACTCTAGCCCACTAGGCTCCTCTGTCCTTGGGATTTTCCAGGCAATACTGGAGTGGATTGCCATTTCCCCATCCAGGGAATTTTCCTGATAGAGGAATCAAAATGGCAGATTCTTTATCCCTAGCACCAAAAAGATAGCTAATTTAAATGTACGTTAGTTGCTGTTTTCAATTTGTGATTATGCCTTTGTAATAGGTAGCTTGTATCTGGTTGAAAAATACAAATAAATGTTTCTTCCAGTAACTTGGGATTAAATTTTCTCATGTGATTCACTCACCAGAATTAAGCAAGATGATGGATTTGAGGCACACAAACTCCTCTCCCTGGAGATTCATCATACGGAACCGAGATGATGTAGCCAGCAACATGTCAAAGATCTCTACCATGCCTTCCACACATTTTCCCTGGTTCCTATGAAAATACACACAGACAAAAATATTAAAGGACAAAAAAATTCCAGAAGACATGATAAGGTTCACATTCATAAGAACCTACTGGTTCCAAATCTATAACAAAAAACCACAGCCCATTCTCTTCATGGAGCATGAACATTCACTTGAATTCTAGAAGGCAAGATGAAAAAAGATTTTCCATCAATAAAAAGACCCCCATTTCAAATGCTTAGAAAAGACGTCTTATTCAGTTCCCAAATCTGTTATGTTAAATATGAAGTTCTTCAACCTATGGATAATTAAACATGATTTTAATTCAGGTAAATATATTTTTCTAATAAATATTTATCAATCACCTACTATATTCTAGTTGTTGTGATAATAATAAGAATAAAAATAGGGCTCTAACATCAATATGCTCATGACCTTGAGATAATACAATTTGTATTAATAAACATATAAAATGATTTGGAGATACAGGACCAACGATGAAAACTATGAGCTGTAGTTGTGTGGAAACCATTAATGTTGCCTAGGATGACAGGTAAAGATGCTGAGTAGGTGGCATTGAGTGGACACTTTAAGAAAATGTAGGATTTCATTGAGTTGAGTTATGAAAGCATCATTGGAAGAGATCCTAAACATGGAAAGGAGGAACAGTGTGAAAAAGTCTGGAGGGAGAAGAAGATAGGGCAGTAGTCTGGGAAAGAAGATGAAAGAGGGCTTACATCCTTATAAGAAGTTTAAGCATTTTCCCTGTACAACACAGCTTTGGTGTCAAGGATTTAACATTACCAGTTGTAACTATTAAATAAGCAAACCTAAAGGGAAGTTCCCTGGTGGCTCAAACAGTAAAGCGTCTGCCTGCAATGTGGGAGACCTGGGTTCGATCTCTGGATCAGGAAGATCCACTGGAGAAGGAAATGGCAACCCACTCCAGTATTCTTACCTGGAAAACCCCATGGATGGAGGAGCCTGGTGAGCTACGATCCATGGGGTTGCAAAGAGTCGGACACGAAAGTCTGTTCTGTACATCTGTGTCTCTTTTTCTGTTTCGCATATAGGGTTATCATTACCATCTTTCTAAATTCCATATATATGTGTTAGTATGCTGTAATGTTCTTTATCTTTCTGGCTTACTTCACTCTATATAATGGGCTCCAGTTTCATCTATCTCATTAGAACTGATTCAAATGAATTCTTTTTAACGGCTGAGTAATATTCCATGGTGTATATGTACCACAGCTTCCTCATCCATTCATCTGCTGATGGGCATCTAGAAGAGACTTTTGGACTCTGTGGGAGAAGGCGAGGGTGGGATGTTTCGAGAGAACAGCATCAAAACATGTATATTATCTAAAGTGAAACAGATCACCAGCCCAGGCGGGATGCATGAGACAAGTGCTCAGGCCTGGTGCACTGGGAAGACCCAGAGGAATCAGGTGGAGAGGGAGCTGGGAGGGGGGATCGGGATGGGGAATACATGCAACTCCATGGCTGATTCATGTCAATGTATGACAAAACCCACTTCAATATTGTAAAGTAATTAGCCTCCAACTAATAAAAATAAAGGAAAAAAAAAAGAGTCGGACACAACTGAGTGACTTCACTTTCAGTTTTCACTTTCAAAGGTTCAAAACATGCAATATCTTCAAAAGAAAGTATTAGTATATTTTTCAATAGGATTGGTACAGAAACTAAATGCAGAGATGATACATGTGAAAGGAATGCATTCATCCTCTTACTCATTAACTGAATTTGGGGCATGATGAGCTTGAGGCATAGGAAGAAGCTAAGATATTTTATGCATATGCAAACATATGTTTGTGACATCTATAAAAATTTAAGACATGAACAGTAAACACATTGTCCAGCACTTTATTTTGTTTTTAATTGATATACTTTAGAGTTCGTCATCAACTGTTTTTAACAGCAGCACAGTTTTTCACCAAACAAAATGATTTTATTTCTTTAATCAGTTTTTTGTTGTTTGACATTTAGTTTCAAGTACTGTGCTGTCACAAACATTTCATGCAATGACTATACTTAGGTTTATGGCTAGGCACATTCAAAATGACTTATTGAGGGCCCATTATATACGAGGCTTTGTGTTAACATTAGGGTACAGAGAAGAAAGCCATGGACCTTGTTAATATAGAGATTGAGGTGGGGGTGAGATCAATTAGAAGTTTGGGATTAGCAGATACATACTACTATGTATACAATAAACAACAAGATACTACTGTATAGCACAGTATAGTATAACTACACTCAATACCCTGCAATTAACTATAATGGAAAAGAATCTGAAAATGAATATATATGTGCATATATATAACTGGATCACTTGCTCTACACCAGAAACTAATGCAATATTGTATATCAACTTTACTTCAATATAAATTTTAAATAAAGAGATTCAAAACAGAGTCAAGACAGACAAGGAAAAAGGTGAGTGCAATACAACAAGCATATTCCCCAGAAGAGGTGTGTTACATTGAATAACAGTCTCTCCATATTTAACTCACATCAATACTGAAGCAATTGTCATAAAGTTCTCAGTTAAGGGTAAATGAATTTTTATGTAAAGTGCTTAAATGGCATGTAGTGCACCATAGGGGCCATATTTAAGTCTTAGCTACAGACATAGTATATGTCTTATATGCAGAGTACATCATGAGAAACGCTGGGCTGGAAGAAGCACAAGCTGGAATCAAGACTGCCAGGAGAAATATCAATAACCTCAGATATGCAGATTACACCACCCTTATGGCAGAAAGTGAAGAAGAACTAAAGAGCCTCTTGATGAAAGTGAAAGAGGAGAGTGAAAAAGTTGACTTAAAGCTCAACATTCAGAAAACTAAGATCATGGCATCTGGTCCCATCACTTCATGGCAAATAGATGGAGAAACAGTGGAAACAGTGTCAGACTTTATTTTTGGGGGCTCCAAAATCACTGTAGACAGTGACTGCAGCCATGAAATTAAAAGATGCTTATTCCTTGGAAGGAAAGTTATGACCAACCTAGAGAGCATACTAAAAAGCAGAGACACTACTTTGCCAACAAAAGTCCATCTAGTCAAGGCTATGGTTTTTCCAGTGGTCATGTATGGATGCAAGAGTTGGACTGTGAAGAAAGCTGAGCACCGAAGAATTGATGCTTTTGAACTGTGGTGTTGGAGAAGACTCTTGAGAATCCCTTGGACTGCAACCAGTCCATCCTAAAGGAGATCAGTCCTGTGTGTTCATTGGAAGGACTGATGCTGAAGCTGAAACTCCAATACTTTGGCCACCTCATGCGAAAAGTTGACTCACTGGAAAAGACCCTCATGCTGGGAAAGATTGAGGGCAGGAGGAGAAGCGGATGACAGAGGATGAGATGGCTGGATGGCATCACTGACTCGATGGGCATGAGCCTGGGTAAACTCCGGGAGTTGGTGATGGACAGGGAGGCCTGGCGTGCTGTGATTCACGGGGTCTCAGAGAGTCGGACACGACTGAGCGACTGAACTGAACTGACAGACATAGTGATAAATAGGTAGAGCCACAGGTATCAGGGTAGAGCCTGGCCTTTTTACCTTAAGTATCCAGGAAACAATTCCCAAAGTGCATTCTGCTTTGTGGAAATCTGGGTTTGTGAGAGCTCAACGTAAGCAGAGGGGAATCTTGAAAAGATATATTGCTCCATGGGAGGAGTGAGCTGGTGGTTACACCAAAAGGCGAGTGGGCCTCAAGCCCAAGTGAGCCTTAAACCAAAGGTGGCCTTAATCTAGAAGTGAGCTTTTCTGTCCTGTAGCTGATTTTTTTTTTTCTTTCTAGTGAAAAAATAAACAAGGAGAGGGGGAAATGTTTGGAGGCTAAAGCTTTAAAAATAACAACTCATAGCCAAAATAGAGAAATGTTCCTTTCTCAGTATAAAGTCTTTGTTTACTTAACAGACTGCACACCCGGCAGGGGACGGCTTCTCAGTGTGGGAGGGAGCCTGTGTTTGCATGCTGTGAGCAAAAGTTCAGTTCAGAAACTCAGATAGTGGAGTCTTAACAATCCTCTTTTCTTCTCACCCCTTACGACAGTCTCCTACATTTTCTCATGAGGAGTTTGTTCTTCACTCTGCCAGTGAGAGTGTATTCTTCTCAGCCTCTTCTTGTCGGATGCTATCCTGGCATTTCTAAGCGGCAGTTATTACCTGGCCACAGCACAATGCTGGCACTTCAGCACACTTTAGGACCAAGCCCTCAGCCATGGCGCACACCCACGGCTCTCAATTCGGTTCTTAATGTGTATCTGTGTGTGTGTGTGTATTTGCACATGTGTTTGCATGCACATGCATGCTTTCTTTTAGAGGACATGGAGGGAGCATACATTAAGTATAAATCAGTGAGACAGTTTGATAGAAGGACCCTGGGTCTAACCTTCCAAGCAAACAGAAGTGCTTCATATGTGCTGGTGTGAGTTTCAACTCTGAGGTTCCTGGGGGAATATTCACTGCAGTGAAGCTGCAATTTTCTTTTATTATTATTATTATTATTTTTCTCATTTATTTTTACTAGTTGGAGGCTAATCACTCCACAATATTGTAGTGGCTCTTGTCATACATTGACATGAATTAGCCATGGATTTACATGTATTCCCCATCCCGGTCCCCCCCCCACCTCCCTCTCCACCCCATTCCTCTGGGTCTTCCCAGTGCACCAGGCCCGAGCACTTGTCTCATGCATCCAACCTGGGCTGGTGATCTGTTTCACCCTAGATAATATACATGTTTCGATGCTGTTCTCTCAAAACATCCCACCCTCGCCTTCTCCCACAGAGTCCAAAGGTCTGTTCTATACATCTGTGTCTCTTTTTCTGTTTTGCATATAGGGTTATCATTACCATCTTTCTAAATTCTATATATATGTGTTAGTATACTGTAATGGTCTTTATCTTTCTGGCTTACTTCACTCTGTATAATGGGCTCCAGTTTCATCTATCTCATTAGAATTGATTCAAATGAATTCTTTTTAACAGCTGAGTAAT